GGCAACCTGAAGTAACTTCTGACGATGAATATTCAGATTCAGGTCGAGGTGTGTGGGACCCGTGGACGAAGAAATTCCGTCTTTTGTAAACAAGGAATTGAAGCTCGTCACCGACAAGAATGCGAGCAAGACAATGGCCGAGCAGCCGGAGATAGTGAAGAAGAGGGTGGCTTTCTGTTTAAGGTTATGCATCCTTGTAACCTTAATCATGTCATGCATAATGCATTCGATCTACAGACAAGGAAGATAACCTATATATAAAATTTGGTCCCTTGAAAGGCATGGTTTTATAAACAATTCTTTATATTGCAATACACAATTAAGTAGACCACATGTTCAAATATATTATCGAAATACACATAAGCTAGGTTTGAAATTATGTGTCTGAGAGTGAATGTCAATACACTACAAGACAAATTTTGTGTATCGTGTCACTATATTTTTTTTTACGGTGCAAAAGTCATTTATAATTGGCTTAGATGATTGCAAACCAATTTTCAAAATGCACTCAACTTTAATTATAACTTAAGCTAAAAGTAGAAATTACTTAATTAGTGTTTATTTGGATCGATACTAAATACTCAATGATATTTCGCATCGCTTATTTTCACTTGGAAACTAATGTAAAGTATTTATTCATCGTTCATCTAACATCAATTTTCCAAGCGCATGCTAAAAACCTTTCTTTTTTATTTTTATTTTTTTTTAATGATATCTTTCTCAAAAATGTTGAATTCCCAACTCTAATGGCCCTCACGTCCTGCCCCACAGAACATATAGGAGGATGCATGTAAATTATGGTAATTCGGTTGAACACAGAGACTAGACATTTGAATTGCTTACTGCGAACAAAGAGCTCACATCACTTTGAGAGGTTGTTCCAAACTTCACCCCGGTTGATATTATTATTATTGTTTGATATTTTTATTATTGTTACGTTATTGTTTTGTTGCTACTAGTTATGACTAAATTAAGAATGATAGGCTTGAAGTTGATTGTCAACTCCAAATGTTTTTACGGGATTATGTTATTATAATCCACAACAAAATACTGAAAATTAGGAGCATTTTCCTTGCTCCGATCTACTAGCTAATTTTGTTTGGGTGGCTAGGAAAACAATTCGATGTAGTGCATGAATTAAACCCTATTATTGTATAATAGTTTGTAAATTACATATGAGAAGCAAATTCTACTATAAAGATTTAGTGATAGGTTCGACAAAATAGCGTTAATAAAATCAAACTCATAATTTTTAAATTTGAACATTATGTTTCCCTCAATTAGCCATTATTTGCTGGCAGATCTAACAAAGCGTTTGGGAGGATGTAAATCATGGTGACTCAGTTACTCAGCAGACATGGTCAAATGCCGATGTGCACAAAGGATCAAATTTGCCTACTTTTAACATAATCTCTACATTATCGCTACCAAAGTTCGAACCTTGATCACTTCTCTTAAATACTAGCTACTAGATCAGTGACTTAAGCTTATGCGGACATCTAGTAGCTAATTTGAACGTTGGAGTTGCAGGCAAGGTTTCAAACTTGCTGCAAATCCTAACATAATCTAATCGTATACCACGTGAAATTATTCATTATGCACCCATTTTCATGTATATGGTTAAATCGATATTTTTATTTAATTATATAATTTTAAAGATTAAACTCAGGCTGGTCCATCGCAACTTGTGCAGCATTGATGATGTTGTCTCAGTCTCCCATGTGGTGCAATACTACTGATGGTATGAATGGAGCAGACGAATTGGACCAACTGTACTCTTTTTTCTCTATTAATGGCTACAGAGTACTACTTTTTTTAAAAATAATAATAAAAATAAAAACCATTGATCTAGATCTGGACACTTTTTGGTACGTTGGTCTTTATGACAAATTTATTATTTCATATAAATTTGAAAAAATATTTTGTAGTATATCATCTTGTGAGTGTATGTGACAAAAATGTTTTTATATATTGTCTTGTTTTATAAAAGAAAAATAATATCACTCAAACTGATTTGATCCAACAATTGACTTATTAGTAATAATAATATTTACCCGCACGAGCTTAGCTCAATGGTTTAGTGGCCAATATTTGAGATAAGAGACCAATGTTCGAATCTAGGTAGCGACAATATGAGAATTATGTCCAAAGTGGACAAGTGGACAGTTTGTGACTGAACCATCGAGTCACCCCAATTTACGTCGGAGTGTGTTGGGGATTCAACATTTTGGGACAAGTAATAATAATATTTTAAATTTAATTATCTATAATGGTAGTGTATTAATTTTCTTGGTTTAAATGCATTCTTCAACAAAAAGACACTTACCCTGGGAAAAGGGCAGTTCAGACGTGCATGTTCTATTGCCACTCTCATGTTGTACTAAATGAGCAAATGCCACTAGCACATAGATGTATCATATATATATGGGTGTATGTGGCAAAAATGTTATATATATATATATATATATATATATATATATATATATATATATATATATATATATTGTCTTGTTTTACAAAAAGAATAAAAAAAATGTGATAACTCCAACTGATTTGATTGAACAATTAACTTTTTTTTAATACATCGAACAATTAACTTAGAAATAATAATATTTTAAATTTTTAAAAAAATGTGATAACTCCAACTGATTTGATTGAACAATTAACTTTTTTTTAATACATCGAACAATTAACTTAGTAATAATAATATTTTAAATTTAGTTCTTTATTATGATTGTGTATTAACTTTCTTTGTTTAAACGCATTCTTGAACAAAAAGACACTTACCCTTAGAAATGGGCAATTCAGACGTACGTGCATGTTCTTTTGTCACTCTCATGTTGTACTGAATGAGCAAACGCCTATAGCACATAGACGCATCATATGTGGGTGTGTTACGAAATTGAATTTTGTGATCTTCCTCTTGGGAAACAATTATTTAGAAAATACGTACTGATGCTTTTGCAAGCATATATGTTTCTAGAGACTAAAATGTTTTAAAATGTAAAATATTACTTACAAAAATTATATTGGATTTGTTTTGTACCCAAGAAGGGATATTTATACATGAGGATTACTCGTATATAAGCAAATCTAGACTATATACGAGTAAATCTAGACTATATACGAGCAAATCTAGACTACCAAAAATGAACTATAAACTTTTTAAAACATGAATAGGAAAGAAATCTAGACTAAGAAACAGGTTTCAAAATCTTATCTAAGCAAGATCTCCTCAAGATCCACAAATCTCGCAATCCTCGTAGTCCCTCTTCAGGCTGTGGACCGATATGATCGATCATTTCCAAGCCGATCGTCCAGTCGCTAGTATCATTCCCAAGAACTATCACGGGACTTTCCAATCAAGTATGCCAATGCTATATTCATCTGTGGAGACAATATTTTTGTGGTAATTAAATAGTAACACACTTTGAATAAATAAAAACCTTAATCTATTGCAGTTACTTGGCCGCTTGTTTCATGCAAGAGTCTTAGAGCATAATCTGTGTTTATTGGCAATTTATATCATACACCACAGCGCGCGTTGCACTATGCGCCCAGATGCAAAACGACGTCATTTTAATTTTTTTTTTTTTTTGAAATTTCCCGACCCAGTGAATGGCAGTAGTTTTTTCTTTAAAAAAAAAAAACCGCTGTTCAAGAATGTACATAATGTTATACTAGAATACACATAATGTTATACATGAATGTACATAATTATATAACAAAATATACATACTCTTTTTAAAAGATAATACACATAATCTAACATAATACATAATAAACATAAACTTTTAACATAATACACATCAACTCTTAACATAATACACACAAATTTTCTGATTCGGATGTACATAATTGTATAAAAAGAATGTACATAATTGTATAAAAAATACACATAACGTTGTGAACAAATACACATAATCTCAGCAACTTTCTACCGCGCCTCCCAACACTATCCCAAAACGACGTCGTTTTGGGAGGTGCGCGGCGCACAGTGCTATGTGCGCCGTGGTGTAGGATATAACGATTGGTGTTTATTTGTCTTAATAGGCTAAATTAATTAATAAGAACATATATACAACGTTAGTCGAAACGAAAAGTAAATGAAAGCGTATAAGCAGTCCATTTACAACTGTAGTATGCGTGAATTGGCACCATTGCATGTATGTTAATGGGCTGATGAATATAGTACAACAGGCTAAGGTGATATAAAAAGCGAAAAGTGGCGTGACTGATAACTACAAGCTAAGCCATCCGACAGGGCCCGTTCACGCTCTAAGGCGTGCTTTCCTTTATCTAACTTCTTTCTCCACATCTAAATGGGCCTCCCATTTGTAGGACCATTAGGTCCACTCAATCAAGTACGTTTGAAAGTGATTTCACCAATCAACATGTTTCATTTCGCTCTTATTTATTAGAAAAGTAGTTAAATAAATCTTTAAACTTTATAAGAAAGTGCAATTAAATCTTTGAACTTTAAATAAAATTCAATCAAATTATCATCTTAGTGTATCTAAACTCAATTATCCACCTAGGATAACCAGTCATTAGGGTTTCAGCGAATCATTTAGCAAACGCAGACTGCAATTACGATTGAAGCAAGGAATGACGCCTTCGCCAACTAGAGAAGGCTCCGATCGCCACCTACGCGTCCAGTCACCACCTTTTCTAGTGGAGAAGCGTCCGGGATTATGATTGAAGCAAGGGATGACGCCTTCTCCAACTAGAGAAAGGCTCCTATCGCCACCTAGGCATCCAGTCATCACCTTTTGCGTCCGGAATGGCGCCAACTGGTGTTGATTATCTAGGATCATAAGAATCTTCTCGCTCTATAGTCCTATAGTAGTTGTATAATAAATGATTGTAAAATTTTATAACCTTAACACTATTCAGCAACTAAAGACAAAGGCAACACGTAGAAGTTGAATATGTGATTAAAATCTATTGTATGAAATTGAAAAGTGTTACTTATATTGGTCTTTTATAATAACAATGATTTAATGAAATGAAATTATATCAATGATTTCAAATATGATTTTGTCTACAAACTTGAAGCAAGTCAAGTGGCGGCGTTATTATCAGCCGTGAATCTTTGAATCTATTAGATAGATAACTTGCTGATTGGTTGAGAATTGGATCACATAATCTGTGTTACATGCAATAAGGTGAAATATTTATTTTTTCCTGACGTGGCGTGGGGTTGAAATTAAGAGGACGGGGCTGCAGCGGGGGCGCCGCCGCCGCCGCCACCGCCACTAGCAGCCAAATTAAGAATGCTTTGAGTTATGACGACGTGAGACTCAAGAACATCGCGGTGGTTGATGGCCATGGTAGCATACTGGTCGGCTTTGGTCGGATTCTTGGTGGTTGGGTCGGTTGTGATCTTTTTGAGGCTCTCCTCGCAGGCGTTGAGGTCGAGAATGGCATCTTGGAGGAATTTAACGGCGTCGGGGAATGCCTTGTTGCCGACGGAGTCCACGGCTTCCTCGATCAAATCCACCGCCGGAACGTAATGCTCTCTGCAATCGCTGAGGCCCTGCTGGGTCTCCGGCGGCAACACCTCGCTCCCGTTGTTTAGTTTCATCTCCACCGCCTCCGACACGTTCACCGCCTCTTTCTCAATCTTCTTGAGCGCGAAAAAGGCAAGGTCGCGCATATCATTTATTTCGATGAGAGAAATCTCCGGATCGTTTTCCTTGTCATTCAACCACTTCACACAAGCCTCACCGCCCTTGCTGTGATCGCATGCGGTGGCAATCAGCTTTGGGTCAACTTTCTTTGCCGGAAACTGAAAGTTTTCTCTTATTATTAAATTAAACAACGTCAAAAAGTGAACTTTTATTATAATTGACTATGCATGCATAATATATATATATATATATATATATATATATATATATATATATATATTTTATCACCAAAAGAAAAATAACATTTATTAACAACGTGAAAATAGTTGTATGAATTACACAAAAGCTCTGTTTGAAACACCTATCCTACCTTAAGGTTAGGTATTATTTGTTGAGGCTGAATCGAATAAACATTATTATTGAGGCTTAAGTAGCAGAAGATGAGGGCAAGAAGCAAGAATCTGGATGCCATTTTTTCCTTCCTTCTCGATCTATCTTCTCAATAATCCTCTAAACTGGAATAGAATGGAGGGTGAATAACTGCATTTGTTTAATTTGCAAATGGATCGGAGGGTGAGGACAAAATTAAAGTCTGATCTTTTCTAAGCCTCTCGTTAGCAGAAAAAAGTGCATCTCATCTATCTGTATACAATATAATATGAATATGAATTGGTCAGCCCAAAGAATCACCATCAGACATCTATATATATATGATGAAGTCATGGATCATCGGATGTGCACACATATTCCGATTTTCATGCCACATCATCATCATAGGGCTGTTATATAAGCTCATTACTGATCGAATTATTACACAAAAAAAGTCATCCAAATATAGCCGCCACATCCCATCCTGTTGCGATTTCTTCATTTATAAGAACCGGCCGGCATGTTAATTACTTGAAGAAGCTAAGCTTAATTTTAACCAAACTTCTGTATGAATTGAACTACAAAACTAAAATTTTAGACACGAAACTTAACATTTTTGTTTAATTAATGTTTCAAATTGTTTTTTTTTTTTTTTTTTTTTTGTTTTTTTGTTTTTGTCTAAAGTTTCAAAAACCACATTCACCTCCTATTAACTGCTTAGTAGGATAATAAAAATAATAAAATATAAAATAAAATATACACATGGCAACCTAAACCTATTGTTAACTTGTTAAAAATATTGATTGCACTTTTTTTTTTTTCTAAAAATACTGATTGCACTTTTTTTTTCTAGATGAATTTGAAGCTTACTCGAATTCGGTGACTTAATTGTTATCTCCCAAATAGTTCAATAGCCTATTTGTACTTTTACCCAAAAAGATAAATTGAAACATTAGAATTTTGATTAATGAATGATAAATAGTGCAATTTTTGTAAATTAATAAATATAAATAGCCTTCCCAGGGTCTCCCCTTTCCGTTTGGTCCATATATATATATATATATATATATATATATATATATATATATATATATATATATATATATATATTAAAGAAAAAAAAAAAGAAAAAAAGTAAAAGCCAATAACTTGTTTTGAATCAAAATAAGCTATTATTTAAAATTCCAATGTTTTACCAAACATATTTTATAGATTATTTGTAGCTTAAATTAAGCTATAAAGTCTACAAAACATAGTAAAAGAAGTCATCCAAATATAGCCAGATTGTGTTGAGCATTGTTTCATTCATAAGAAACAGAATGTGACTTGGAAGAAGCTTTTAACCAAATTTCTGTATGAAGTCATATATGTGAACATTAATATCTTCCGGCTTTTCTTGGTGGCAAAAGTGTGACACTCCTTCCAGTATAACCACTTCCTGCAAAAATGGCACATCCCTTTGGAAACCACCATTGTCTACATAGTTCTTCACACCTGGGGTGTTATAAGTCACGTCAAGATCTCCGACAATGAATTTAACCGGAACCTTTACCTGCACCCCTGTAAAGGGTGCCAACAGCTCCCAATTTCTGCAGCAGTTAAGCGATATATCAATCAATATAGCTATGATCATAAGCCGCTTCCTATCTCAACAAAACAATAATACAAAATTATATAATTACAAGGGCAAATCAGCTCATGAAACTTAACAATCTATATAATTGTTCAGTTAAGATTCAGTATATTAGCATTAAGCCATTGATCCAGCAACCCAACATGCAGGTTGTTTCTTGTTACATATCAAACACACTAAGGGTAAAAATTTGGTGCTGATTTCCAGGATACTATCTACAAACAAATGCTAGACATACATTTTTCCTAAAAGGTTGAATTCCCAATCTCAGGCCCTCACGCCCCGGGCAGAGCATCTGGGAGGATGTAAATCATGGTAACTCAGTTGAACACAGAGTCAAAACGCTAGATATACATATCCACACACATGACACAATTTAGGAACTATTACATTAATTTATTCATCGTGCTTGGGTGGACGGGTGTAGAACTATTATCTGATAAGAGCAATGCAAACGAACAGAGTAATTTTTTAGGTTTAAGAAAAAATAAAAAAAGTTTTCGAGTTCAACTCACAAATCCATAACTCTGTAGTAGTTTAATCCACCAGTGAAACCTTTTTTGCTGAATTTGCTCACATAATAATCCACATCTTGTTCTGACAACCAAGAAGGCAGGTTGATAGGTTTATTAGATGAACCCCCAAATCTTACACTTTTGGGCACTAGAAGTAGTCCTGGCTTACGATTCGTTAAAAATTTCCTGATTATTCTATCAGTACCAGCACTAGCAAATTCTTCTTCTGCTTCTCCAGGTTCCTATAGAATAACAGAAAAACATTGAACTCAAAGGCTACCTTTAGCAGTGATTACTGCCCTGCACTTACTTGGAAGAATGGGTGTTGTCATGATAGGAACTGTGATCAGTGATCCTTACGGATTTTGAAAGATGAATTGATATTGCGAATTTATGCATCAAAGAAAATATAATAAGAAATTTACTATTAAATCTTAGGAAATGCTAATTCAATTTGAGAATCGAAAAATTAAGCTATAAGACGTTGTGTTGGATCGTAATATTCCAGTGATTACTTATCAAAACAGGATAATGAGTATGATAGATCGAGAAAGTACCTGAAATCGGCACATATAGTAATCGTCACCAAACAGAAAACGCATAGACTCCACCGGCTTCCATTTAGGGTTCCTCGGAGTGAAAGCCACACTCAAATTGACCAGAGCCTTGATTCGATCTGGGCGAAGCAAGCAGAAGTACCATGCCATAGCGGCACCCCAATCATGGCCGACAAGGAAGACCTTATCGAGACTCAGCGAGTCGAGTAGGGCGACGAGGTCGCCGACGATGTGAAAAGCGGTGTAGCTGGAGGCGGAAGGCGGCGCGTCCGTGTCGCCGTAGCCGCGAAGGTCGGGTGCAATTGCGCGGTAGCCTTTGGCGGAAAGTGCGAGCAGCTGGTGACGCCACGAATACCAGAGATCTGGGAAACCGTGAAGGAATAGGATAGCCGGGCCTTGGCCGATTTCAGCTACGTGCATGTTAATTCCGTTTACATATAAGTTCTTGTGCTGTATTTCCTCCATGAGTGCTCTCGAGATTTTTCAGTTTCTTCTTGTGCTTGGGGATGTCCGATGGTTATCATAGTCACACTGACGTGGACAGTTTTTAATTCATTTCTATGTGCACAAGTTCAACGAGATAAATTTCATTTCTTTTTCTCTTCACAATCATTTAATTTTTAGATTGCATTCGTAATGATTGATTGATTTGATTCTGATGGAGATATTAGAAGCTACCTAATAAGATAGAGATTTGGGGCTCAAAAGGTAATTCAAATTAAGAAAAGTTACATGCACTTCCATTTCTCACTTTCAACTTGTACTTTCTTACACAAATTTTTGTAATAGATAATAAGTTTTTTATATTATTTTTCTTATCCGTTTGTATTTAACTATTGTCTTTTTTTTTTTTTTTTTTTTTTTAAATAAGCAATGGTTTATGTTATTCATCTGGTTGTAATTTTTCACAATAGTTTTATCATTATATGTATGCCTATTTATGATCATAGAAAATCAAAATCCAAATACATAATGTCAAGCATTCCTGGATAATAAAGAGTTAATCCAAAGTTAATGTTAATTTGTAAAACTATATATAATTACTAGGCTAATAATCAAAATTATTATTCTAAGTTATTTTTTAAAAAAAAAAATTCTAGTTAACAATTAAAATAAAAAGATTGTTTATTCATAAAATGAAAATAATAAGTACAAGATTAACTCCTTTTAATCAAAATGAGTACAAATCTTTTCTCAAATTGGTCATTTGACTTTTAATTGCACCCAAAGTAGTCATTTAACTATAGTGAAAATCTTAAATTACCAGTTTTACCCCTCATTTTAACACTCATTTAACACCAAAACTAACGGAGAACCATTTTGACTTAAAGTTCAATAGTCGGAGGACCACTCTGAGTGCAATTAAAAGTCAAAGAACCAATTTGAGAAAAGACCATAGTTGGAGGACCATTTTGATAATTAACTCAATAGATTATATATACTATTTTGAAAGAACGCTAAGGTTGCAAGCTTATATTGAGGAGGGGTGGAAGAGTAGGTGCACGTCCCGGAGGGCGGGCTAGATCAGCATTTGTATTTGATTAGGGTTAGTAATGAGTAGATTAGGGTTTAGGTTTGATATTTATACCTAACTATGGGCTGATTGTATTTGGGTTTGATATTTATACCTTCTTTATATAGGCAAATTCTTGAAAAATATTTATAATATTATTATAAAAATAAAATTAAGAAATTACACATTGATGGTGTTGTAAAATAAACAAGAATAAAAGTTCTTAATTTGATATAACCATGTGAGTTCATGTGATGTATAATAAAAAATGTAGAGTAATTCTATGTATATATCTTACTCTCATTTTCTATGTCATGATTTTTGATTCTCCAATAAAAATTAAACACTTAGATGGGAGTAATATTCTATGGAGTACATACTAGTAGTGCTGATTTGCAGGCCAGTCCTCTTTCTCCCCTCCCCTCCCCTTCCTCTCATATCATAGAAGATTTCACTATCCATGGGCTTTGGAGAAGCTAAGGACATACATCTCTAAAGGCCGTGAATAGTAAAATCTCCTTTGATTTTACTTTGAGCACATCTATTTCTGATCACATAGTAAGCTGACGGCCACAATAGAGATCGAGAGATAAAACTCAGTCGATGTTGGAGACGGAGGGAGAAGGGAGGAAGAGGACTAACCAGATCAGATCAGCACTACTAGTATTTATTTAAAAGGGAGCTCTTCTGAAGAGAATGACACAACAAAAATTAGTATATTAATTACCTCCTTGAGCCACATACAAATGTCTGGAATATGGGAATGCTGCAGGAACTTTTTAGTGAGGCAATATCTATAAAACCCGTATTCATGTGGATTATGAAGACTGTTGGTTCTAGCAGGGTGATGTTCGGGGAATTTATATATATATATATATATATATATATATATATATATATATATATATATATATATATATATATATATATATATATATATATAGGATGTTGATGGGGGATTTTGTCTCACAGACCAGTGGCTTCTCAGAGTGGTTGGAGCATGCATTCCGTGTGCTATCACGCATGAATTGTGGAAATT